CGATGGATTCTTAATTCCAGGCTACCCTGAAGAGGCTCAGATAAAAAGGTCAGTGGCCTACTAAGGAGCAAAATCAGTCATTGCAAACCTTATAGAGCACAATTCTACTCTCACAGATGGGGTCAGTAGGACTGAGAAGTGGTGGATGACATCTGGAACTGCTAACTGCAAGGTCAGCAGGTGAACTCCACCAGTGGCCCTGTGGGAGAAAGATGAGTCTTTCTGCTCCCATAAAGAGGTTTAACCTTAGCAACCCATTAGGCAGTTCTGTAGGGTCACTAGTGGAATTGATAGCGGTGGGTTTGGTGATTTGGTTCAAGGAAAGGCCAATTCCGTGAAGTCCTTAGGATGCACCAGTCACTTTCTGAACTTATTTATTTTGGGCTCATTTCTATGATCATTCTACTATACTTTCCAGCAGTATCGTGCAGGGAAAGATAGCAGGCACCGTTTCCCCGCCAAATTTCAACACTTGTCAATGCTTCTTTGAATGAATACTGAAGGCACAAATGAACGAAGTGCAACTTAGACTAGACGAGTAAGGCTCCAGGATCACACCATGTATACATGAAGGAGCCTGTTAGGGAGTCTGAGCTGCCTGTGGATATTTGAACATGAAGTTACATTGCAACTCTGCATGAAAGACTTGCCTTTGCTTGCCCTATCTCATCCCAACTACACACAAATGCCTCAAGTTTGTCTCACCTTCACTCTCCTTATGCGACCCTCCTCTTACCTGCCGAGACTGTGAGCAAAAGTTCTGGAATCCGCTTATTGGCACATGATCATTGATAAGCACTGAGGTAGGGAAGAGCTATTCTTCATTTAGCAAGACTCTTCCATGTTAAGTCTAAAGAGCAGGAGTTTCTATTTTTTCTTCTTCTTCCTTTTCTTTAGACCATGTATTAGTGAAACAAGAAAAATCATTAATAGGTTGCTTCATAGCAAGTCTACATGACATAGCAGATCTCTCCCATAGGGCATAAGGTTTTCAAGCATATAATTGTTATGGAAATGAGCTTTGGTGGGACAGTGGGTTCGCCATTGATCTGCTAACCACAAGGACAGTGGTGCAAATCCATCATCCTGGGGAGAAAGCTCCCTTAAAGAGCTAGAGTCTTAGAAATCCTGGAGAAAGATTCTACTCTGCCCTACATAGGTGCTCTGAATCAGAATTAGCTTGATGGCAGTGTGTCTGGTTTTAATCTGTACTGCCACAGACTGACACATCTTTTTCATTCTGCATCTATTAAATACTTACTATCTTGTAAATATACAGCACATTTTCTTATATCCAGAGGATTTGAATTGCAACCCTTTCAGCTAGCAGCTGAGTTGTCTTATTTGGGCTGACTCAGCAAACCTCAGACCGTGCTACAGGTACGTCCAGTGCACGCAGATTGTTCAGGAGAGCAAGTGTTCTGGGGGTCAAGCAATGTCCAAATCAAATCTTGAACAGCAAACAGGATCAGCTAAGCAAAGGGAAAATGTTGTTTTCCAGGGAGGGAAAATTAGTGAACACAGTTCATCTGTACTTCTGTTTCAGAAGCAAGAAGCCTCATTATTGCGTTTTAGAGCAGGAGTTTCTGATCCTTTCTTAGACAGCAACTTCTCTGGGTGGTCTTCCTTATGGAAATGGAAGTTCAGCTCGGGCATTGGTTGAATCGGATCTTCACTCATCACCAGGCGCCTCGCTTTAGAGTCTTGTGAATGGCAGGCAAAGAGCTGGAGCTACCAGTACATTGAAAACCTCAGTGCTCCAGCAGAAGAGCCAAACGGCCTCTGGTCTGGGAAGGAGAGGAGAGAGAGATACAGCTCCGTCCTGGGGAGAGCTTTAAGGGGGTGACCTTTCCCTCCAAATGCTTTCAGCTGTGTTTTCTTCGTCTTTTCCTTTCCACCTTGGTGACGTGACTGCCATTTTATTGGCCTGTATTTTTCTGCTTTGAAAAAAATTAAATGGTCAAGGGAAATCGTACCATTGGGGAAATACTAACTGGATCTATCCCATGCCACCCAGCCTAGTGCCTCGTCTTTCAGAAGATCATATTGAACTCAAAAGAAGGTATGACTCCTGAAGGCATTTTCAAATCTCTGGAAGATATGAAAGGTAACAGGATCCCTGAGATGGGTACCCTGGACTCAGCCTAATTCCCATTTTTTTCTCTTTGTAAAAAAAAAAAAAAAAGCAAAGTCACAGATTATTTTCGGTGGAGTCGGGGGGTGGAATTTGAGTATTATCTACCTAATCATTAATAGAGAGTACCATGAGCAGAACTGCTAACTAGCACTTCAGAAATGTTTTTGTTTTTATTTTAAAAGGGAAATTTGTCTGATGTGCATACAAGTAAGAGTAATGAAAAGATAAAGGAACATTAAAAACAAACAAACACACTGCCATTGAGTCAGTACTGACTCATAGTGACACCCCCACCCCCCCACTTGTGCGTTTCCAAGACTGTTTTGGGGAATAGAAGTCCCAGTCTTTCTCCCTCGTAACTACTGACCAATAGGATCAAAGGCATAACCATTACACCGCCAGGGCTCCCAACATATATACATTAAATCAAAATATTAACAAACTGTAGAGTCCAAAAGATGTATATATAGATGTTTGCAATCCTTGCAACATCTATTAAGGGGAGAAAAAATCTAAAAGGAGGAGAGATTTAGTGCAATGGAATGAATAGTGTAATTCTAGCATTATCAACATGCCAGAGGAAGAGCATCAATAAAAAGGGACATTCTTTTTACCACTCAAATCGCACTAGATTTTGCTAAGAACATATTGTTCAGCTCAACCAGAACTAGTCCGTAAGGTCTCCATCAGCATTACAGTAAGAGTTTTATGATGTCAAGGAGTTTTAGAATCCTGGACGTCTCGGTAGAACTGGAGATAAAGAAAACAAACCCATTGTTAACTACCGAATTACAAGAGGGCTTCGAAAATTTCATGGAAAAGTTCCATTTTTGTCCCCCATGAGCTTTTTGAAGTCCCACTTCATGTAAAGAACGCTTACAATTCAACAATAAAAAGACAAATGGTCCAGTTTTTTTAAAAAAAGAAAAGGGCACAGGGTTTGACTAGCCATTCCTCCAGAGTGGACATCCAAATGGACGGTAAGCATATTAGAAGACGGTAAGCATATTACACTGTTGGTCATCAGGGACAGACACATCAAAATCAGAATGAAGTCCCACTTCATACCCACTAAGATGCCTGAGAATAAAAGAACAGACCTTGGAAGCGTTGGCTAAGATATGGAGGAACTGGAATGCCCTGGACGCTGCAGGTAGGAATGCATAGCAGTGCAGCAGCTTTAGGAAAACTGCTTGTTTGGCATTTGCTCATAAGGTAAACATCAGTACCATAGGACCCAGCAATTTTGCTACCTACACACCAAGAGAAATGAAAACATGTTTCCAATCAAAAACAGGTACATGGATGTTCATAGCGGCCTGATTCCTAATAGCTAAAAGAGTGGAAAGAAACTATTTAACAACCAGATGAATCAACAAGCAAAATGTAGTGACAGCTAAACAGAAAAAGATTATTCCACAGTAAAAATGAAGTACTGGTATCTGTAATGACAGGCATGAGCTTTGAAATTGCTGTGCTGAGTGAGAGAAACCAGATGCAAAAGGCCAAGGAGGGTGTTAACCCATCTATGTGATGTGTTTGTCCAGAAGCGAAATCCGCAAGTC